GGGACAGGAGGATGGGGGGACAGGAGGGTGGGGAAAGGGCAGGGATAAGGAGGGGGTCTGGGGAGAGGAACATCAGCACTAGACAGGGCGCTCAGCATTCTGGGGGGCGCTCAGCATTCTGGGGTGCCATTCAGTGTTCCAGGGGGCTGCTCAGCATTCCAGGGGGCACTCAGTGTTTGGTGGGGGGCACTCAGTGTTGGGGGGTGCTCAGCATTCCGGGGGTACTTGGTGTTCTGGGGGGACACTCAGCATTCTTGGGGAGAGGCACTCAGCATTTTTAGGGGAGGCCACAAAGGAAGCTGGGGGAGGGGGAGGGACCAGGAGGAATACCAAAACACAGGGCCATGTCAGAGGCTGGATGAGCAGAGGAGCTGTGCAAACTGACCACCAGCTGGGCAACAGGGGAGGCATTGTGGCCCCTGGCAGAAGCAGGAAGTGGTTAGTGGAGAAGTGGGACCAAAGCCTGAGTAGAGCCAGGGGAGGGCGCTCTGTGCAGTGAAGAGAGCTATGCCACTTATTCCCATGTCTACTGAAAACAGGCTGCTGGACAAAAAAAAAAAAAAAAAATCAAAATTGAAGACCATCAAGAGAGAAAGGACATGGCAGGCTCAGCCAGGGGGTTGGCTCCACAGGGAGGCAGGGTTAGCAAGAAGCCTGCAGTCACCCTGCCCGGATGCCACAAGCCATGCCTGGAAGGTTTAGCCTTGGGCTTGCACAACGTGCTCCAGGTGAGGAATGTAACAGGAGACCCTCCCCTTAGGCATACGCACTCTGGATAAGGGTGAGCCAGACGTTAGCCTACCTCACCCCCCTGGAGGACTGCAGGGGAAGTTGTCTTAGTGGTGAGCAGAACAAGAGAAAAAAGAATGGGGATGAGAAAAATTTTCTACTGATAAATGGTGGCCACGGACCAACCCTTGTGCTGACTGCAGACTGGGTCCTCATCACCTGCCTGGTCCACAGAACCTCAAGGCCGTGAACTTGGTCTGCTTGCTTCCAGATCCACAGCCACCGGCAGAAACAAGTGTAAATCGTCCCTGGAGGAAGCACCTTCACCCTCAGCCTCTAGGAATCCCCACAAATAATTCTTCAACAGCAATGAGTTGCATAATATCAAAGATAACTAAGCACACAGGAAATGAGGCACCACGAGAGGAAGAAAAGCAGAAACAACAGACAGTAAAAACAGACCACACAGGCTTGAAAAATAGGGTCATCGTAGTGTAACACAGTTACATTATATTTAAAAATGCAGATGATAAGCTTGAAAAAGTAGTACTGCAAATTTGGCAAAGAACCAAATAAAACGTGCAGAAATGAAAACAATAATAATCAATACTAAAAATTCAAAGGACAAGAAGAAACCCTCAAGGATGGGTTTGGGGGTGTATGAAACACAGCAGAAGGCAGCATTCATGCAGCAGAAGACACATCAGAAGGAATGACCCAGATGCAACACAGAGTAAAAAAGAAAGAAATTACCAGGAATATATCCTAAGGAGGTGAGAGAGAGCGCACAGACAGACATATGCACACCTATGCTCATCGCAGCACAATTCACCCCAGCAAAGAGATGGAAACAACCTAAATGCCCATCAACGGATGAATGGATAACCAAATTATGGTACATGCACACAATGGAATACTATGCCACACTGAAGAACAATGAGGGATACACGAATCATCTCGCAACGTGGATGAACCTGGAGGACATTATGCTGAGTAAAATAAGTCAATTGTAGAAGGACAGGTACTGTATGAGCCCATTACTGTAAAAAGACAAAGAAGGGTTTGCTTGGGACACAGAACTCACTTTGTAGGTTACCGGGTCAGGGAGGGAAGAGGAGGGATTAATTTCGGGCTAGTTGGGGCCCACACACCGACGTGGGTAAGGGGAGGGATATACGGAAAGGAACTGTGACCACCATGACAACATTAGGAAATAGGAAAAGTTCAAATTGTGCACATAAGAGATAGACAACAGATGCTAATACCAACCAATGTGTCCACAATCCTGCATTACCATTAACACCAAACACCAGGCTACAGATAAACACATAAACACCTGAGAGGATCAGATGGGGGTCAGTGAACAGGAGTATACTCTAGACCAAGGATAGAGTCAACTGAGGCTAATCTTGCACAGACACCAGTGATACAAAATACCTGCAATCCTTACAGAAACAATAGAAGATAGAGTAATCCGTCACAAGCACTATGGGAGAGAGATCCAATAGATCTACCGGCTCAGGACCATAGAACCGGGGGACACCAGACTCAACTGGCACAACAAAATACATAAAAGCCTTGTTCCGCATCCTACATTGTTGAGTAGCGACTGGGGTCTTAAAAGCTTTCAAGCAGCCATCTAGGATGTAGCTAAGGGTCTCCTAGCGTTGGAAGGGAAGAAGAATACAAAAAAAAAAAAACACACACACACACACAAAACAAGGGCATTTAGAAGCAATCAGCCCTAGGACATGATGGCCCTTGAAACCAGAAGAACTAGATGGCGCCCAGCTACCAATGCCAACCACTCAGGAAAGGATCAAATCTGGAGATCCTGGATAGAGTGGGAGGAAAAATGTGGAACAAAATCCACAATCTCAATAATGACCAGAATTACTGGTCAGAAGTCTTGTAAGACCCCCAGTACTATGGCCCTGGAATACATTCTGCGCCTGGAATAAAACACACACCCAGGGGCTGGCTCTCAGCCCAGTAGTTAACAAGATGTACATGCAGACCACTCAACCCAGGATGATGCACCCACATACTCTATGGAAGTGCATCCCTTAGAGCAATGGACCACAGAGCACCAGACGACCCACATTCAAGCTGAGGAAATGCAGGACAAACGAGTGCATAAATACGAGGGGCACAGGGGAGGGTTACAGGGCAGGGAGGGGAGGAGACGTTAGGGTTGGACATGGAGAATGGGGAGTGAAACTAAATGTACACGTAATGTTGAATGTAAAACAAGCTTTTAAAATAAAAAAAAAAAAAGATGGGAAATACAGAAGGTTACGAGACAGGACAGACAGAAAGTTCTATCCTCTAATCACAGCCCCAAAGCAGAAGGATAAGGGGCCATGTTTAAGTGGCAATAGCTAAGAAGTTTCTGGAACTAATGAAAGATACCAATCCACGGATTTAAGAAATTCAACAAAGATAAAAAGAAATGAACACTCACATACAAAATTCTGAAAATTATCAAAGAGCAGAGATAAAGCAAAAATCTTTAAAGTGGCCAAACAACAAGAAATAACCAGAATACCTTCAAAGCAGCAGTGGTTAGATGGCAGCTGACTTCCTGACCAACCACAGTGGAAGCCTAAGGACTCTGGAATGTTCCCAATGGGATGGAAGAAAACACGTGTCAACAATGAGCATGACCCCAAAAGGACAACTTGATGCAAGAAGGAATGAAGAGCCAAGAAAGTGAGTCATGAAGCAAACACTATGATTAGACCAACCAACCAACCAAAAGCTAGAATCACAGCACAGGACAGCGGCAACAGGTCACTTGGGAGGTGGAAAAACGGACTTAAAATATTCTAAGAACCTTGAATCTTCCGGAAGGTCAATGTATTGATTGGGTTCGATCTAGTAAGTTAAGCACAGGAGTCCCTGGACGGTGGGACAGTTACCAGCCAAGCACATTCAGCTGCTGACCAGAGGTTGGGGGTTCAGGGCCACCCAGAGGCACCCGAGAAGAAAGGCCTGACAGTCAACCACTGAAAACCTTACGGAGAGGAAAGAAGGACAGATGGAAATGGTGGGGAAGGACACAGGGAGCGGTGGGGAGAGAGCCGCTACATCGTGTGGACTGCGATCAACATCACACAACAAGCAGTGTGTGTCATCAAACAGAAACCCAGTGCGCTCCACAAACTTTCACCCAAGTCACAATGAAACGTCAGGTAAGAAAGGAGGCCTTCAGCACAGCTCCACCCTGCCACGTACGAGCAGGGTCCACTCGATGGCCAGTGGGTTTTCAGGTAAGTGTGCCTGTTACACTTCTGAAGGAATGAGGGCTTGCTGGGTGTCATATGATAAACCCACTCAGACCAGGTGAAGACGAGAGAGGAGATGAAAAGAAACTGTGGCAGAAGTGAAGGGAGTGCATATAAGCTGGCATCTTAAACCGAGCTGTGAGCAGGGAGTGTACCCAAGAACCATGTATAGGGTTGGCAATGGTCCTACAAGTGTATTGGTGTGTTCTGTAAGAATTCCCAGGTGTATAGTAGAGCTGACAAGGGACAAGGTTGTAGTCACTTCTTGGTCACCGCCAGCTACCCAGAGGGACAGAGTAGTTGAACCTATGGGCTTGGGACCATAGTTGCAGGGGACAACTAACTCAATTGGCATAACATACTAAACAAAACATTGTTCCACCTCCTACTTTGGCAAGTACCGACTGCGATCTTAAAAGCTTGCAAGCAACCATCTAGATGCAACGATGAGTCTCTCCTCATCCAGAGCAAAGAAGAATGAAGAAAATCAAAGATTCATGACAACAATTATTCCTAGTGACTGGTATACCATGCGGTCCGCAGCCTATATGACTATGAGACCAGAAGAACTAGATGGTGCCTAGCTACCACTATCGGGAGCTCTGGTAGCATAGTGGCTAAGGCACTTGACTGCTAACCAGAAGGCTGGCGGTTCAAACCCACCAGCCACTCCTCGGAAGGAAGGTTGGGCAATCCTACTTCCGTAGTGATACTGCCTCGGAAACCCAAGGAGGGGTCGCTATGAGTCAGGGCTGACTCGACGGCACATAACAACAACAACAACAAGCTACCACTATCAACCACTCAGGGGGATCTATGTAGGAGATCCTAGATAGAGAGGGAGAACAATGTGGAACAAAACTCAAAGTCATTTGGGGAAAAAAAATGGGGGGACTAGTTTTGCTGGTCTGATAGAGCCTGATGGATCCCTGAGACTATGGCCCCTAGCTGCCCTTCAGGTCTAGAACTGAACCCACACCTGTGGCTTCCAGCCAAGCAAAAGGTAGGCATATGACTTGAACATTTACCTGAGGTAGATACACTCCTTGGAGAGAACAATCATGGGAGAAAGAAGGGCTGTTTATGCACCGGGAGACAGCTCGGGGGGCAGGAGTGCATGGAGGGATGGGACAGGGAAGAGGTAACTATGGGGAGGAAGTGGGAGGGGGCTGTTGCATTGTGGGAAATTGTAGTCAACATCATGAGACAAAGTGTATGTGAGCTGCTGTATGGAAAGTGAATTTGCTCTGTAAACTTTCACCCAAATCACAGTAAAATGGAAAAATAAAAAAATGAGCTGTGAGGGGAACTGAAGAACCCAAGATGGTGTTGGTCGGGACAGATGGCAGCAGGGCCACCTGCCAAGGTGACAGCCTTGACAGTGGACAGGGCACTTGTGGGGGTCCCCTTGCTCCTCAGAGGCAGCTGCTAACTACCCCTGGGAAGTCAACACACTGGTGCCATTGGTGTCATGCCAAATGGCAGCCTTTCTCTTGGCATCTCACTCTACAAGCCGTTGCAGTAAGAAAACGGAGCGGAAGAGGGGACTGAGACCTCAGTCCATTCCAGAATAAGGCATGTTCTGGCCAGACAGGAAAGGGGTCTGGCTCCAAGCCCACTCTTTGTGAACACGAAAAGGCCCCGTGCCCAGCCCTGTGCAAGGCTTCCAAGCAGGAACCCAGGAGCAACAGGGGCAGGCATGCCGTCCAGAGACACTCCTTCCATCCCTCCCTCACCAAGGCCACCTCCGACACCGAGCGTCCCCAGCACGGAGCTCCCGTGTCTCCCACACCTGCCGTCTCAGAGCTCAAACAAGGCAAACCCACCGAGAAAAGCCACGTTCACAGCCTTAGGCTTTGGCGGACACAGAATGGACACAGCGGTGATGACCCCCAGCGTGCCCTCCGACCCAATGAAGAGCTGCTTCAGGTCATAGCCTGTGTTGTCCTTCCGCAGAGAGGTCAGACAGTTCAGGATAGTGCCGTCTGCAAGCACCTGGCCAGGGACAAGGAAAAGGCACCTCAGATCTGATGCTGGCCTCCATCTTCCCCTGGGTACCCCTGCTCCTCAAGGCCAAGCCCGACGCAGCACCCTGTGCCAGCGACCCCTGGGTCTGGTTCAGAAATGCAACAGCCTGAGAGAAGGCTGCGGCAGGACCAGGGTCCCCAGTACCTGCGGAGAGCAAGGCCGCCCAGCCCCATCCCACTACAGGGAAGCCTCTGAAGCAAGGCAGACGCCTGGCGGGCAGAGCAGGCAGGGTAGTGATGCGCAGTGTCCTCCCAGCCCTGACTCCTCAGCCCTCAGACAGCAGGGCTTCTCCTGGTCTGGAGCCTGAGTGTCACTCACTGTCCCTTCCATCAGACTCACTGATCAGCTTGTAAGGAGGAGCAGGCTGGCTAGAAATAAGGCCACCAGCAGCCCAGGAGGCAGCAGGTAGAGGGAAGCAGGCAGTCTGTCAAGGCCTGGCCACAGACCTGGACAGAAAGCTCTACCCTCAGAAACCACACAGCAAGGCAACCAAGGGCAGATGCAACACCCGGATAAGACCCTCTAAGAGCTAACCACTGTGGGTCAAGTCAGGGCTCATCCCACCTGGGGACGCTGAGCACAATGTGGCTGCATGGCTGCAGGCAAGGTGCTGGCAGGTGCTGGCATCACACTCACCACCTCCAGGCCCAGGACCGTCCCGTGCAGCGAGCCGTATCGCAGGACCCGCAGGCCGCCTGCATTGGTGGCCACGTTTCCCCCAATGTGGCAGCTGCCCTTGGAACCCAGGTCCAGGGGCATGATGAAGTCACGGTCCTCCAAGTACTGGCTCAAGTCCTCCAGGACACACCCAGCCTGGCACACCAGGACTCCTGCAATGGCACCAGGGCACTGAAGACCCTGGGGTGAGGGGACCCTGCTGGACAAGCCCACCCTGGGGCCCTATGGGTGCAGACCCCTCACAGGGCACCCACCAGGACCTCTGCACCAGGGCCACTGCAGACCCCAGGACAAGAGGACCCTGCTGGATGAGACCACCCTGGGGCTCTAGGGGTGCAGACCCCTCACAGGGCACCCACCAGGACCCCTGCATCAGAACCACTGCAGACCCCAGAGTGAGGGAACCCTGCCAGGTGAGCCCACCCTAGGTCCCTAGGGTACAGACCCTGCAGAGAGCATTCACTTGAGGAACCGTGCAGGGGACTGGGAATGCATCCCACCCCTCGCCCAGAACAAAAGCATCTAGACTTATGCCCCACCTTTAATGAGAGACTGAGGGTGGGGGTTGGGGTGAGGGTGAGGGTGAGGCAGCAAGAGAAGAAAAAACTTCACATACATGTGTGCACACACATGCACATGCACACTCATGCACGCACACACACTCACCTTAAATGATTACAGGGATGAGAGAAGGTAAGACAGCAAGAGAAAAGAGCATGCACATGTGAGCACACACGTGAGTACACATGCCCACACATGCACACAAATGCACCTTTAATTACAGGGATGAGAGAGAGAGGGTGAGGATGCAAGAGAAGAAAAAGCTTCATACACACACATGTGCATCACACACACATTCACTCATATGCATGTGTACACGTGCACATACACATGTGCATGTGTGTACATATATACATGCACAAGTGCATACAGATATGCACATACATGTGTGCACATGCACACATGTACATCAGCACATGGACATACATAGACACAGGCACATGCACATACACAGTATGCACACATACACACAGTAGCACACACATACACATTCATACACACTGGCGCACACATGCACATGGGCACACACATAAACACAGTGGCACATGCACATACAAATGCACACACATAAACACACAGGCACACACATATACATAGTATGCACACATATACACATTGGCATATGCGCATAGATATGTGCAGACACGTGTGCATGTGCACACATGCATATACACATATGCACACATACAGTAGCACATGCACACGGGTATACACACATACATAGGTGTGCATCCATTAAAAACATACACATGCATTTACACTGATGCACATGTGTGCACACACGCACATGTGTGCGCACATGCACATTGCTACATATGTGCACATACACGTGTGTGTGCACATGCACACACGTGTGTTTACAGAAGGGATGATATGGAGCAATGGCTCTTACCTAGGGGCAGCTCTGCCCCTGGGAACAATGGCAACGTCTGCAAACGTTTTGGTCTCACTGCAGGTGTTCCTGGCATGTAGTGAGTGGGGGCCGGGATACTGTCCAACATCCTAGGACAGTGCCCAGGACCGGCCCCCAACAAAGAACAACTGGACACTCACAAAGCTGAGGAAGCCTGCTGCAGGGACATACCGCTATGTTGCATGGACGGGGAGCCCCACTTTTGCAGCATTTGTTTATGCCGTCACACCTCCAGAAAGGACTGATGGACACACAACACCTGCACTGGAAGATATGTTGGCCACAAGCTGGGCCATCCCCCTTCAGTCCAAGCCCACAGTAGGAACCATGCAAATGACTAATTGCACATACACATACACACATGTACACACACACACCAAGCATGTGCACGTCAGGCACATGTACACACACGCCAGGCACACACACATGCCAGGCACATCCACACGTCACATCAGGTATGCATACACGCATGTACACACACACCAAGCACACACGTCAGGTGCACACACGTGCCAGGTACACACAGCAGGTACACATGCATACATGTACACACACATGCCAGGCACACGTGCAGACCAGGTACATGCACACATCCAGCACATGCACATGCCAAGCATGCATACACACATCTATACGCACATGCCAGGCACACACACACATCAGGTATATGCACACATCCAGCATGTGCACACACCAAGCATGCATACACACATTTGCATGCACATGCCAGGCACATGCACATGCCAGGCATGCATGCACACCAGGCACATGCACATGCCAGGCACACACATGTACACATGTACCAGGCACACACATGTACACACACCAGGCACGCTCACACACCAGGCATGTGCACATGTCAGGCACGTACACATCAGGCATGCACACATGCCAGGCGCACATACACTCAAGCACACGCACACACCAGGCATTCACTGCCAGAGCTGGCCCCACCAGTGTGAGCGTGTGCAGACAGGCGGGCAGTGGGCTTACCAGACACACTGTGGAAGTGGACCACCTGGTTCATGAGGGACGTGGAGAGGACAATCTCATCAAAGACGGGGACACTGCCCCCCACCATGCCCGTGTTGCCCCCCTGTGGGGTCACCGCTAGGTTCCTCTCATGGCAGTACCTAGGTGAGCACAGGGCTGTCAAGGTCTTGTCCCCACCACATGGGACGCACACTCACAAGAGTAATCAGGCCAGCACAGGCCCTGCTGGAGTGGGACACACCCCTCACCCTTTTCCCCTCTCCCGTCAGCGCCCCCTTGCAGTAGTCCCCTGCCCTCAGTCCCCTCCCTCCTCAGTCCCAGCTGCGTGTTTGTGTCCTTCACCCAGTCCCCGTCTCTTGGACAGTGCATTGTGTCATCCACTCTGCCAGGTTCCAACTTTGCAAAGCCTGAGAGGGAGCCATCCAGCAACTGAGAACCTGGGAGCTGGTGCGTTCAGGCCGGAAAGGCTGTGCTGACACGCAGCCAGGGGGGCTCCAGGAACAGAGGTGCCCGAAGCTGCTCATAAAGCATCAAGGACAATGACCTCACAGCAGGTTTCAGCAGGCATGTGGGAGGTGGGCACGTGGGGGGAATGTTCCTAGGGTGCAGTAACTTAGACGCAAAGTGCTGAAGAGGAAGAAATGGCCGCTGCTGCTCGGTGGACACAGAACAAACTACAACGGCAACACTGCAGAAACCGTGACGAGGGCAGCAGGTGCCTGGGGGTCTAGAGGAGGCAGGCGCATGAACGGGGGCACGGGTACTTTCAGGGCAGAGAAAGGACTGCGTGTGGCACTGTGATGGTGGCACGTGACATGATACATTTGTCAAAACCTGCAGCACTCTGGGACAGAGAGTGAAGCTGGGAGAACCTGTGGACCAGAGTAATGAGGATGTATCAGCATGTGTTCAGTGGCTGTAACAAACATGCCACAGCAACACAAGGAGGCACGCAGTGTCAGGGGGATGAGGAACTCCCCACATTTCCTGTACAATTCTGCAAACCTACACCTGCTCCAAAAAGTAAAATCTATTCAAGGAAGGTCTATTAAAAAAAAACGACCACAACATAGGTGATAGAGGGATGGCACTTAAACACCCACAGTCGGAAACAGCACGGAGAAGACGCAAGCCCAGAGCCCTCCGTGGCTCTCCCGGGGGCTGGGGGACAGAACCCTCCATCTTTGATGGTTTCTAAAGGAGTCCTGGGGCGCAGTGGTTAAAGTGCCCAGCCACTAACGAGAAGGTCAGTGGTTGGAACCCACCAGCGGTTCCTTGGGAGAAAAGACCTAGGGATCCATTTCCATGAAGATGACAGCCTTGGAGACCCTGTGAGCAGTTCCACTCTGTCCTCTAGGGGTGCTGTGAGTCGGAATGGACTCCGACCACAGCAGTGGGTGTGGTTGGGACTTTGCTTCCGTGAAGACTGACAGTTCCACCCTGTCCTCTAGGGGCGCTGTGGGTCAGAATCAACTCCACAGCACTCAAGGACAACATGGTTTCTAAATTTTCTACAATGAACATAATCAGGGGAAAATGACCTTGGAGATAAAAGGTCTGTTTCTGCCACTGACAAAGTCCTCTTGGGTCCCTTTCAGGCTGGGAGGAGGGTTGGCGCCTCCCCCCCCAGAGATGGGAGACACTTTCAGGACAGCCTCGGAGGGCAGCCATGCTGGAGCATCCTGCCTGTCTTCCATCACCGCCACCCCTCGGTCTGTGTCCCCCCCATGGCCACGACACAGGAAGCCCACGAGCCAGTGCGGGGTGCAGTGGGCGGGCAGCCTCCCTCCCATTACCTGAGTATCCGCGACACCTCCTCCGTCGTCCGGGGCTTCAGCAGTACTTTGCTGCGGCCTGTGACAGAAAGGCCAGTTGGCACAGGCCACAGCCCACTGACAACAGAGAAGGAGGCAGCCAGCACCTGGACTCCTCGCCCGCCCGCCCGCCGTGCATAGATGCCAGTGCCTTCTGCAGAGGCAGGAAGGAATTCAAGTGTGGCCAGCACCAGCACCACAAAGTGACACAAGTGGCGCAGCACAAGAAGGGTCAGGGTGCCCTGCTCGCCCAGGGCCAGCAGCGTCGTGACAGGCAGCAGAGGGCAGGGCTGGGCAGCCTAGGAAGGCTGAACCAGCCGCAGACGCAAGAGCACAGCTGTCCGGGCCGACCGGACATGAAGGGACAGAGGGCCCGGGAGCCACAGCTAAGTTCCGCCTCTTGTTATACTGTGAACACAATAAAATCTGGAGGCTGTGTCAAAACAAAAAAGCAGCAGCAGACTTGCATGCCAGGCTCTCACGCGTTTAACCCGCACGGCGTCCCTCACTGTGGTCCCACTGTGGGGCGGGGCTGAGGCTCACCTGCCTACCATCACCCAGCATCAGTGGCCAGGCCACAACTGGGACCCAGCGAGGCTGACGCAGGTGGACACCCTGCTGCTGCTCTAGGCCTCCTGGCCTGTGTGCACAACACTATAAATGCCAGTGGGGGGAGGGGGCCCTCTCCGCAGGCCTTCCCTCCATCGCAGGACACTGCAGGTGAAGACCAGCCACGGCGTCTCCGCCTCCTGGCAGCTGAGGAAGCGGCCTCATGACCTCAGCCAGCTCTGAATTCCACTCACCCTCTTGCTCCAGATTTCTGCAGTCCTCCTACACGTTGTCGTCTCCAGACCTCGCTTTGTTGGGTCTGGAGCTTTGCCGAGAGCTTCCCGCAACCTCAGGTCATCACAGCCCTTACGGTACTGGGGCAGCCTATCTCTCACTCACCCCTTTGTGGGGGCTCTAGGTCCAGCCTGAGGACCTGGGTGTCCAGCCATGCCCAGGTCCCCCATGTTTAAATACGTCATTTTGTCATAAACTGCCCCCCTTTGACCTCCCCTCTACATCACAGCAAGAATGCTGCACTGACCCTTGAAATTGTGGGAGGAAGCGTGTTACCTGTTAGCACCACCTGGGGGCAGAACACAGGTGTTACTGAGGTGCAGTGAGTTCCTTGGCATGGCTTTTCTAGCCAAAGTCTTAGTAACGCCCACCAGATTACTGGGTGGGACCATGCAAATGAGGTATGTAGAACTCTGATGTTGGGATTGGTTAGTTTTGTCACTCTGCCAGGCTTAAAATGAGCCTTCACAGAGGCAGGAAAGAGATCCCACTGCCATCGGGAGAAAAGCGCTAGAGGTGAAGCAGGGCGCGTCTCTGGACCTGAGGTCCCTGCACTGCATCTCGCCAGCACAGATGCCCAGCAGAGAGACACCCCGCTGAGGGACGGTGGCAATGAACCAAGAGGCAGGAGACAGAGTGGCAGGCTTACCTGGCCCACAGTGCCGTTGGGCAGGAGCCTTGCTGGCATAGTTGGGTGCATGTAGATGTACCTACTGGCAGAGCTAAAAGAGCGTTGTAACGCTTGGCCAAGCAGGGCAGAGGCCAGGCCGAGAGGCCAAGGGCCAGAGAGGCGTGACTGAGGGCACAGCAGAGGGGAGACTGTCCTGATCAAAGAGCTGTATCCTGAGCACGTTCCTAAACTTGAGTTGGAGCCCGTTACTTTCCTAATAAACCCCATAATCCTGAGTATTGACTGTGAGGTCTGTGTAGCCATTGCAATGAATTATGGAACCCAGTAGAGAAGTAGTGGGTGCTGTGGGAGGGATGGCTGGTGTCAGGGTTGGTAAAAGGCTGGAGGGTGGCAGTATGTCTGGCCTCATAGGAATAAGCCTTGTGCTGATGGTGATTCTGCCTTCCTCTTGGGAAGTTGGAGGAGGCCAGAAGATGCCGCCTCCACGCCCTTTTTGCAGTTACTAAATATTTTAACAAAAGGGGGTGCTGGTCCAGGAGGTGAGACCTACAGTGCCGGAGCCTGGGATGGTATGCCCACTGGGCTAGGGGGATGGGCAGTGGCCTGTCAGTGTCTCACATTTTACCTCAGGAGCAATAGTGAAGTGGATGGTGGCCCCAAAAAACGGAACGTCCACCCCAGAACCTGTGAAAACCTGACCCCAGAACCCTTAGATGCGACTGAGTCAAGGACCTGGAGATAAGGTCCTGGGTTATCGAGCAGGCCTGGAATCCAGGGATGAACTGTGTCCCCCAAATGCATGTCAACTCAGCTGGACCATGACTCAGTGTTTGGCAGCTGAGTAATGATGCAGTCACCCTCCTCTGTGCAATCTGATGTGTCCAGTCCTGATACACTGTGAGGGGAGTTCCCTGGGGTGTGGCCTGCATCACCTTTAATCTTACAAGAGATCAAAGGAGAGAGAAGTGAGCAGAGAGGGCGGGACCTCAGTACCACCAAGAAAGAAGAGCTGAGCACAGTGTAGCCTGTGGACCTGGGGCCCCTGCACTGAGAACCTCCTACACTCAGGGAAGACTGACGCCGGGACACATGGAGATCTCCGAGGAATGCCGGGCCCACAGCTGTTCAAAGGAGACAAGGACCTTCCTCCAGACCTGACTGCGAGAGAAAGCCTTCCCCTGGAGCTGGCACCCTGAGTTCAGTGTAGCCTCTTAAACCATGAAAGAATCCACTCCTGTTTGTTAAGGTCATCTGCTTGTAGTATTCCTGTCACACACAGCAGGACTAGAGCACTAAGCCAGCATCCTTACAGAGACACAGAGAAAAAACACAAGGAAGAGCAGGGAATGGCCATTTATGGGGGAGGCAGAGACCTATGACGCAGCCACAGCCAAGGGGCGCCCAGAGCCACAAGAAGCCAGAAGGATCCTCCTCTAGAGCCGGCCGAGGAAGCCCAGCCCTGTGCACACCCTGCTTTACAGGCTGCTAGCTTCCAGAAGCACAGACGTCACCCTGAGGACTAGGGTGCACCAAGCCAAGTCCGTATTTCAATCAACCCACACACGTGAAAGCTGGACAACGAATAAGGAAGACCGAAGAAGAACCGATGCCTTTGAGTTGTGGTGCTGGCAAAGAACGCTGAGAGTACCACAGACCGCCAGAAGAACTAGCAGATCTGTCCCGGAAGAAGTGCAGCCAGAATGCTCCTTGGAAGCGAGGGTGGTGAGACAGTCTCACCTACTGTGGTCATGTTGTCAGAAGGGACCATTCCCTGCAGAAGGGTGTCATGCTCAGTACAGTGGAGGGTCAGCGAAGACGGGGAGGGCCCGCCACGAGACGGCCGACACAGGGCTGCCACGCTGGGCTCAAGCACAGCAAGGATTCTGAGGCTGGCAGGACCCGGCGGTGTCCCGTTCCATTGTAACGGGACTCACTAAGAGTCCAGACCAACTCAATGGCACCCACCAACAAAGGCTCCCACAACTGCGAGAGGACGGGACTCTTCAGTTTAAACCACCCAGTTGGTGGTCCGTTGTTAGGGCCACCCTGTGACTAAGACAGAAGCTGGGGACTGACACGCCCATCAGAGCACCATATGCCACCGACAGACAACTGCAGGTTTTCTTTGCTGAACACTTTGGTTTTTGGTTTGGGTTTTGGCTTTAACCACACAAGGCAGCTTTACTTCAAAGGCACAAGAGGTGCTCACAGAGCAAGCCCTTTAGCTAGACGAAAACCAGACGGTCAAGCCTAGCTCCCCAGCCCCGCCCACCTCCTCCTCTCTTTGCCTCCTCTCCCAGGTAGGCGGGCTGGCAGTCCCGGCCTACCTCGCATAGTCCTCAGCCAGTCCACGTTCACAGCTGCCAGCTCCTCAGCGCCGGTGACAACCCTGCCAGGGAGGATGAGCTCAAAGGCGGCCAGGTCCTCCTCAGACACCACGGCAAAGGGCAGACGCTGCACAGGGTAGCGTTCCGTGGTCAGCGGCACATCATCTGGGTGGGAGGAAGCTGAGGAACAGCCCCTGTGGGCGAGGGGGCTGGCCCCCTGGACACCCCAAGGGCCACCGGGCCGCCTCCTCTGCTCCACAGTGGCCCCTGGTGCACACACGGTCCTCACCGGGACGTGGGGATGGCCCTGCTGCCACCAGCCTGGAGCAGCCCTGAAGAGCCAGGCCGGCCACCTGGGCAAGAGATGAGGCCACATGGTTCCGTCCTGAAAAACAAGTCATGGGGAACTGCAGCTCCGGAATGTGATAGGGTCCCCACACAGGGGACACCCAGACACAGGTGTGTGTGGCAACCACCCCACCTCCAGAGTGCAGGAAGGGACAGGATGCCATGCAGCAGATGTTCGGGGCGAAGGGGGCGGAAGGCTGCAGGACACAGGGTCCTGCAGGGGACAGGCTCCTAGGATGCCATGGGGTCCTGGGGGTACAGGGCCCTGAGGAGGTTGAGGCTCTGGAGGTGCTAGAGGGGCACATGGGGTCCTAGGGGTATAGGGTCCTGGGGGATGCTGGGTCCTGAGGGTGCGGGACCCTGAGGAAGCCAGGGCTCTGGGGGAGGTGCTGGGTGCTGGAGGGACGCAGGGTCCTGGAGGTACAGGGCCTTGGAGAAGCTTGGGGCTCTAGCCGTCATGTGGGGTCCTGGAGGCGCAGCAGCCGGGAGGGTGTGCCCTTGCCCTGCCTGGCTGCAGGGTCCACGCTGGAGAGCTCCCTGTGCACCTGTGACCATTGCTGGCTCTCTGGGGTTTCAGTTTAACATTTAGAAACAGTTCCTCTCCCCTCGGGATGAAGACAGCTGGGATTTAAGGGAGTAGGGAAGGGACATCGGCCTTCAATATTGTGTTGGTGAAGATATAACTTGGAGAACAAAACCACTGTAGCAGTCAAGCAACTCACATGAATTTTTTGGTTTCCCCTCAAAAAAAAAAAAACTCACTGCCATCGAGTCAGACTTGACTCATAGCAACCCCTCCTTGGGTTTCCGAGGCAGTATCACTACAGAAGTAGATTGCCCAATCTTCCTTTCGAGGAGTGGCTGGTGGGTTTAAACTGCCGGCCTACTGGTTAGCAGTCAAATGCTTTAGGCACTACGCCACCAGAGCTCCCTTTTTCGTTTCTCAGTGTACATTAAAGTGATGTTTATACTTTACTGTAGTCTACTCAATGTGCAATTGTTGTTGTGTTGTTGTTGTTAGGTGCCATCGAGTCGGCTCCAACTCATAGCAACTGTACGGACAGCAGAATGAAACACTGCCCAGTGCTGTGCCGCCCCATGATCCTTGCCATGCCCCAGCCCATCACTGCAGTGACTGTGTCAGTCCATCTCATTGAGGGCTTTCCCCTTTTTTGTTAACCCTCCACTTAACCAAGCATGATATCCTTCTCCAGGGACTGGTCCCTTCTGACAACATGACCAAAGTAGATGAGACAAAGTCTGGCCATACTCGCTTCCAAAGAGCATTCCAGCTGCACTTCCTCCAGGAGAGATGTTAGCTCTTTTGGCAGGCAGTTTTCTTCTCCAACACCACAACTCAAAAGCGCCAACTATTCCTCCTTCTTCCTTATTCACTGTCCAGCTTTCACATGCATGTGAGGCAATAGAAAATACTATGGCTTGAGTTAGGCACACCTTAGTCTTCAGAGAGTCATCTTTGCTCTTCAGCACTTGAAAAAGGTCTTTTGCAGCAGATTTGCCCAGTGCAAAACATTGTTTGGTTTCTTGACTGCTGCGTCCATTGGTGTTGATGGTGGAACCAAGTAATATGAAATCTTTGACAACTTCAATCTTTTCTCCATTTATCGTGATCCTGCTTATTGGTCCAGTTGTGAGGATTTGTTTTATGTTGAGGTGTAATCCATACTGCAGACTGTAGTCTTTAATCTTCATTGGTAAGTGCTTCGAATCATCTTCACTTTCAGCAAGCAAAGTTGCATCGTCCACCTACTGCAGGTTGTTAGTGAGTCTTCCTCCAATCCTGATGCCACGGTCTTCTTCATATAGTCCAGCTTCTTGGATTATTTGCTCAGCGTACAGATGGAATAAGTATGCTGCGAGGAACAATCCTTACGCACTCCCTCTCTGACTGTAAACTGTTACCCGAGCCGCCAAGGGAAACGCTAAGCTGACATCGAGCAAGATGGTGAAAAAGGAAGGACCCTTATTTGTGTTGACACTCAGCTCTGTGGATTCCCATCCAGTGACTGAGCCCTGAACAAAGGCCACGCAGGGGTTTTATAAGTTTTTGTTTCCAGGGTTTTTGGGGTGTGGGGTGATTGGTTACTTTCTAAAAGACGCAAGCCGGCAAGTATTCAGAAACAGAAGCGTGCACAGCTGGAAGATGTGGGAAAAGGGGGAGGGAGTGCCTGTTAGGGGGTTTCCACCCTCTAAGTTTCCTTTTCTCAAAATTGGGTGTGTCCTGCCTCAAAACCATGCAGTATCTCCTTGCTCTGCTCGAACGAAAGCATCTTGGTCTCTATACCAGTTCCTCATGAGCACAATTAAGTGTTCTAGAATCCCCATTCTTCTCAATGCTATCCATAATTTGTTATGATCCACACAGTCCAATGCTTTTGCATAGTCAATAAAACACAAGTAAATAACTCTCTAGTATTCTTTGCTTTCATCCAAGATCCATCTGACATCAGCAATGATATCCCTCATTCCACGTCCTCTTCTGAATCCAGCTTGCATTTCTTGAAGTTCTCTGTCAATATACTGCTCCAACTGTTTTTGAATTATCTTCAGCAAGATTTTACTTGTGTGTGATATTAATGATATTGCTCAGTAATTTCCACATTCTGTGGGATCACCTTTCTTTGAAATGGGTACAAATATGGATCTCTTCCAGTCAGTTGGCCAGGTAGCTGTCTTCCAAATCTCATGGCATAGTCAAATGAGTGCCTCCAGCGGGACATCCGTTTGTTGAAACATCTCAATGGGTACTCTGTCAGTTCCTGGAGCCTTGTTATTCACCAATTCCTTCAGTGTAGCTTCGACTTTTTCCTTCAATACAATTGGTTCTTGATCATGTGCCACCTCCTGAAATGGATGAACATTGACCAATTCTTTTTAGTACAGTGACTCTGTGTCTTCCTTCCATCTTCTTTGGATGCTTCCTGCATCATTCAATATTTTGCCCACATAATCTTTTCATATTGCAACTCAAAGCTAAAATTTCCTCTTCAGTTCTTTCAGTTTGAGAAATGCCAAGCGTGTTCTCTTCTGGTTTTCCAACTACAAGTCTTTGTACATTTCATTATAATTGACTTTGTCTTCTCGAGCTGCTCTTTGAAATCTTCTATTCAGCTCTTTGATCTTGTCATTTCTTCCATTTTGTTTTAGCTACTCTCCATTCAAATGCAATGTTCTGGTTCCCTAGTGCCGCTCTGACAAGAGTATACCACAAATGGGATGGCCTTAACAAACAGGAGTTCACCCTTACAATTTGAAGGCTTTAAGTCCAAATTCAAATTGCCAGGCTCTAGGGGCTGTGTGAAAGCCCCTTAACCTTTTGGACTTTAGCTCTGCCTCTTACTTCTGGCCCACTAAAGCTAGAGGCATTTCTTCACTCAGGCAGCTAGTGGCTGCTGAGGCTAACAAGCCCAAGATTGACAAATAAAATGGCACTGTCCAGATTTTACCAAACCACACAGCAGGCCATTGATTTAAGTCCATTGAAAGTCCCAGGATCAGTACAGCATGGCAGGCTACTGAACAACAACACGGCTACATGCAGGGTACAAGCAGGCCATAAGGTAGAGACCATTCCCAAAGCTGTTTCTTATATACAGGAAGCAGACCACATACACAAAGGCAGCTACTCAGCTGCTCACAATAGATTCCACCATGGAGATGATTATCAGTCTCATCATGGGGAATACTACAGTCAGCTGCCCAGCCACTCAACCAAGCCTAGCCAACTTGACACACAAACTTAACCACCACAGGCAAGTTTCAGAGCCTCTTCTGACACCCATTTTCTTCCTTTCCTTTTTAATGATTTTTTTGCTTTCTTCATGGATGTTGCTCTTGATGTCATCCCACAATTCCTCTGGTTTTCGGTCACTGGTGTTCAATGCACCCATTTATGCATTCCATTTCATTTTTGACAACTTCCAATTTTTCTAGATGCATACATCATACATTCCATGTTCCAATTACTAATGCATGTTTGCAGCTGTTTCTTCCCATTTTGAGTTGCGCCACATCAGCCAGTGAGGTCCGGAAAGCATTACTCCATCCACATCATTACTCTGGGGAGGCAGCTCTTCCCCAGTCCTATTTTGAGTGACTTCTGACCTCAGGGGCTCATCTTCCGGCACTGTATTGGACAATGTTTCAGGGCTATTCAAAAAGTTGTCCAGTAATATATCAGACAGTGTTTCACTGCTATTCGTAAGGTTTTCACTGGCCAGTTCTTCGAGAAGTGGATGGCCCCTTCCTTCTTCTGAGTCTGTCAGTCTGGAAGCTCCACTGAAACCTGTCCACCATGGGTGACTCTACTGGTATTTGAAATACTGGTGGCATAGCCTCCAGTTCCACAGCAACACGCCAGCAACCACCATACGACAAGCGGACAGACAAGTGGTGAGGTGTGCAATAGGATGATGGAAGTTTCCAGTACTGTGAGGATCACCAGAATGGGACACAGAGACACTAAGTGAGGGCATGCCGTTGGAAAAATGGCACCTACAGACTTGATGGAGGAAGGGTTGCCACAAACCTTCAAGCAATCAAGAGAAGCTGAATACAACACGGTCGGCCTATGCTGACTAGTCCATAGGCTCCCAGAAGAACCAACAGTTCTGTCCTGGACCAAGTACAGCCGTAATGGTCTTGGAGGAAGGCTCTCCTCCTTCGGACCTAGTATCATAAGGCACCTTCCCTGGCGAAGGCTACCACCCCAGGTAACGTGAAGGGAAGGAGGAAAGGGGAAGGCCCTCAAGGAGCTGCACTGACACGGTGGCTGCAATCACGGACTCAGGTACAGCAAGGATGGCGGCCCTGGCACAGGACCGGGGCGGTGTGTCGTTCCGTTGTAGGAACTGGGTCGCAGCGAGTCGGAGCTGACTCAGCACGCAACGACAACAAAGGGCGGGACACTCGCAGGGCGCCCTGCCGGGGGACCTCAGCCGGGCGCCCATGGCCCTGCAGAGCCACCTGCCTCCCCGTGAACATGAGGATGGGGACCGACTGAAGCCG